TATCTCGATGTGGTACAAACTGCCCCCTCTGCCACCCTTAGCTACGCCCCTGTATCTCGATGTGGTACAAACTGCCCCCTCTGCCACCCTTAGCTACGCCCCTGTATCTCGATGTGGTACAAACTGCCCCCTCTGACACCCTTAGCTACGCCCCTGTATCTCGATGTGGTACAAACTGCCCCCTCTGCCACCCTTAGCTACGCCCCTGTATCTCGATGTGGTACAAACTGCCCCCTCTGACACCCTTAGCTACGACCCTGTATCTCGATGTGGTACATGTAGAGTTTCAAGTTATTTGCAACCAGCTGCTCAGCATGACTTATTTCATTTTGTTGTCTCCAGTCTTTCAATGGTAGCCAGAGGCGTAACTGGGTTTTTTGACGCCTTTGGCTAATTTATTTTTGGCGCCCTTGATTAGAGATTATAAGAGATTTAGCGGCACCCCTTTGAACTGGCGCAGGCCGGCGCCCTTGGCAACTGCCCCAATGCCAAGCCGTTGATACGCCACTGATGGTATCGTTGCTTATTATTTGACTTAAATAATTGATTTGTTGTCAAGACGCATCAATTAATACGCAATACATTTCGGAACTTTCTCCATTAATAATACAGATTGGATAATTACTTATTGAAACACCAAACTGTCTGTTATAGTGTCAACTAAGTAAAGTTTCTAAATGACATCAGAAGGGACTGGGAGTAATACATTTGTGACGCGCTGGGGAGCTTTGTGACGCTAGGGGACATGTGGGAGAGCTCCAAATTCGGTCTGACTTGTGAGACGTCATTTATAGATCCCCACCCCCCCCCCCTTTTTTTTTACAGAGCGTCGAAGCAGTGGGACTGGAATTAATTCTAAACACCAACAGAAAGCGTAAAACCTGTGGCTAGGTTTCTAGTGGGTTGAAAAGAGAGGACAGCTGTATATAAGTGGGTCAGTGGGGCGATTTAGCATTTATTTGTTTGATGACTGGAGGGAAGGTTGGAATAGCTGTTCTGTTATGATACGTTATATATAACTAAACATGTAAGTACTGGAGTGTTTTGTTTTTTTAAAGAATGTTTTAACAGTCAAGCAGAGAGGATTCATGATCCTAAATATTGATACATTTTATAAAACAGAAACAGCGATAAAAATGTAATACATTCGTCAGTTCTTTCACACGTTGAAGCGTCGTACTATTCTCACTATCATTGAACTAAGTCAACTCCTTTTGATAATAACTATAACTTTAATATCTAAGTAAATATAATGTACATCCTATCACTCCAAGGTTCCACTCAAGACTGCCGCACGACTAAAACATACGTCACAATACTGCATAGACAATACGTCACGACTCAGCATAAAAATACGCCATAAAGACAATGGCGGGAAGAGCGTTCAATAACTATAATAGTCAAGCGCGGGAAAAGCGTTCAACAACTAATGAACATAATATTGAGTCGCAACAATTATTAATGAACGCTCATACTCGACATATCCCCCCTCTTTCATTTCAGATTTAACTAAGGGAGTTAAATCGTCACCAGACACACAAAATTTACATGAATTACATCAAAAAGAGACCTTCAGCCATATGAATGGTCCTTATCAAAAAACATTATTTGGGTATCACTGAAAATCAAACAGATTTATGATATACTGCAATAAAATAAACAATCATTCGTACATAATTTTAAATGCAATTTAAGAGTTAAAAATTCATGTACGCCAATAAAAATCAGACCATTGAAATTGAATGTCAACATTAATTTTCATTTTTCATACCAATAAAAATAATTATATTTTTATCTCAAAAATCAGGCAAAATACATCAATATCCTTACTGAATTTGAAACTATAACTAAGTTAATCCAAATCATATCATCAAGAAGGTGTATTTTTAAACAAAACCAATGGTCATCACTATAAAAACACAAAACTATCTAACATTATTACAGGTGAGAGATGCCTCACCACAATTTAAGCAGCCTTTATTTGCTCTTAAATAACACAGCTACAGATGGCGGGACATATCTTTTGTCCGTGGATTTCACAACTTTATGCTTCACCATCTTAATTATAATTAAAATTATCTCTCCCTGTTCTTTTGACCCGTGGTCATAACTCATGTGAAACCTCAGTTTTACAATACATATTTTTAAATTGTTACAAAATGAAAAACGAGTCTCATAAAAAATAAATTCAAACAAATCAGGAACTTCAAAGCAATCATGGTAATTGTTCATTTTAACAGATTCATTTTTTTTTACAATACAAGCAAAAGCCTCACCTCCCAACTCATGGACCTGACATCTCACCTCCTCTTGAAAATCATAAACAAGTGCACCTTTAGAGCTGGCAGCGCTCTCTTTAACACTTTCAACATTGGTTTCCAACTTAATGTTAGAGCACTCCTGGCTCTCAAAATCTGGACAACCTTCACTCACATTACTTGGGAATTTATTTTCATTAAAACTATCTGTAACAATATGTACATTTGAGCAGCCCTGGCTCACATTTACAGGTGATTCATTATCATTACAATTATCCGTAACAATATGAACATTTGAGCAGCCCTGGCTCACATTTACAGGTGATTCATTATCATTACAGCTATCCGTAACAATATGAAAATCTGAGCAGCCCTGGCTCACATTAC